AAAAGTTTTGCCGAGTTGACCCACTATTGTCATCAAAACAAAAAGCAAACAAACGGGCGCTGGGAGCTTTCCAGGGTTATCTCTAGATAAATGCAACTATTTCTCTTTATAGCGAATCGTGTTTTATTAGCAAACTGCTTTTCCATGCGCGTAAGAATTAAACCTCAGGGATGCTGGCAGGAGAGAAGTCATTACCTAGGCAGACAATAAAGCAGATCTCGTCTTTTAAGGTTTAAAGGAGAGAGGGGGGGTTCGGTGAGAACTGAATTTCAGCCCAGATTACAAGGCAAGCTGCCCTCCGGCCCCCGCGTCCCTCCCTGCGCGCTCGGCTCCACGAGCGTGTTTCGGGGGGGAGAGACCTTCAACCCGTTCTCCCTTTACAAAATGCGCAGTACATAATTTTTCATTTCAACTCGAGCGTTAAAGTTGGTGCTTTATCGAAGCCGCTTTAATTTGCTGCTTTGATTTGCAGCCTTTGTCCTGTTGGACAGTCCTCGGGGCAGTGGCCGGCTCGGTAGCCGCAGCCTGGTGTGGAACCTTTATCGCAATTATTACCGTTCCGTTAATAAGTGCGTTTTAAAGGTATTGGAAATGGCACATAAAAAAAAGTCAAAAAAAAAAAAAAAGAAAAAGGCAGCGGGGGAAGGAGCTCTGAATAAATGCATTTGAAAGCAATCTCCCTGGTAGACCCTGCTTGTCTTTTGCTATCTTTCCCTGAGATTTTTTTTTTTTTTTTTTGGCTTGCAAACTTTTGGAAAGTAGTTTTCTTTGGGTGAGTTTAAAGGTAAGTGTCTGTCCTGTTTCCAGAGCCTTTGTCTGAAAGAGCAGGGGGACTGTGAGCAGAGGGTGGTTTTTCTTCCTGAGCATTTGGGGTTTCTTACGCCTGCGACAGCAAAGACGGTTTTCACAGCGTTATGCATCCTTACTTTGCTAAACGCGCAGTAGTCCGGGAGAAGATATGCTGAATTTTGTATTGTTATTTGCAGGGGAAAAGGTAAACACAGTAAACGTTAAAGGAGATAATTTTGAAATATTTTCCCTTGGCAATTTCAGCTCTAGGCTAGTGCATGAGTGGAATTCAGCTCAACAAATCTCTTTTAATATATGTATTTGCTATAGGAACATCAAAGAAAACTCAGGCAGTAGATTGTTCTTATCTCAGCTGGAGCTGCTGTAGCAAAAATCTGAACAAATGTACCTGGAGGAGAAAAATATGGTGACAACAGATTGTTCCATGGCTTTACTGCTGATTGGCAGAGATAAACACAAAAACAATTTGGGAGGATAATTGATTTAATGAAAAGTGTAATAATTAGAACATTTTTCATTCTGAAAGTCCATCTGCTGAAAGGGACTCTGCCTTTTCATTACAAAAGAATCTGTTTTAACAAAAGAAAGTGGTTTGACAAGTTTGAACAATAAACAAAAGAGAAATGGAAAAGAGCTTTCCAGTTATGTTATCACATGTAATTTTATAATTTCTGAATTATTATTTTTAATTTCTGTTCCATGGACTATTTAGACGATATGGACAAGTTGATTAATCACAGTCATTTTTGCAAGGTTAGAAGTTTCCTTTAAAGCGACAAGCTGTTGCTGCTTTTATGTCAGGATGGAAGTTTTCTTTTCTTTTTAAAGAATTAACGTTGTTTTATCGTAAGTGGCAAGCTCAGATATCAGGAAAGATTTTTAGCAAGAAGCGCGCGGATAGCCCTCGTTTGATGTTTTCTTTCTGCCTTGTGCTAAATCAAATCACCGGTTTTTAGGAAACAAGCTTTCCAAGCCTCTGAGCAGAGAGCGAAGGAGTTTCGGTAGCGAAGGGAATAGCACCCGTGTGGGGTGTTTGGGGAGGGTTTTCCCTCCAACCTTACAAATACAATACCAATGCGCGGCAGATCCCTCGTGCCAAAATAAGTTATGTTTTACCGATGTTTTGTGGGGGCTGGGGGGGGGGGGTGATCCGTCTCCCCCTTTTGCACCTGATGAAGTTTGCTCCTTCCTAAAGCCTGCGTGCCTCTCCTCCCCGCTGCAGGCGGGCCGACCCCCCCAGCCAAGGGCTGGCGGTTTGACGGGCGCTGTGATGTCACCCCGTCCCCTCTGACCTCACGCCGGGCCGGCGGCGTCTCCGTGCCCTGGCACAAAGCGGTTCCCCCCCCCACCGGGTCGGTGAGAAACCCAAGTTGAAGCTGGCGCTGTCTCCCCGTCCAGAGAAACGCTCTCCCTGCTCGCCCTTGCCACGGTGCGACATGGGGGCAAAACTGCGGGATTTGGGTTCTAGCGGAATTCTCGGAAAACACAGGTGTTCCCGCACCAGATCTCTTAATTTTGACAGCAAACCCGTATCGATCGTTGATCGATGGCACAAAACACGAACGTCAGATACGATCGTGCCTTTGAAGTGAGCCTGCTCCGGCGTTTTTGGCAAGTCCCGGGGGTGGTGCAGCGCAGTTAATTGCAGTGTAATTATCGCTCCCTCCTATAAAAATCGCTCCCTCCTAAACAATGATATTTTATTAAAAACGAGAGTTGTGCTGCATCCCACCAAGCACAAAATAAGCCGAACAGCTTCTGTGCGCTCCGGGTTTTTCCTCTCTAACGAAGGAGGGCTGCGAGCCGGGAAGGGTCAAGCCGTCCCCTTGGTCGCCGCCAAACGTTTTCACGCGCAGCGCAAGATGTTAGCGTTTTAGTTAATTTTTCTCCATCACCTTTTTCCAGGCGCGGTCGGGTCTCCAGGGCAAGGTATCTTAACATCTTTCCCGTTTGGGCGTTACTGCATTAAGCGACACGTATTTCTTTCCCATCTCAAAAGCGTTACCGATGCAGGAATGGGGCTCGCGCTTTGGTTTATAGGGTGACCTGCCCAAAAGCCGTGGGACCAGCCGACCCTCGATGATCCTGACCCTCGATGTCGCGACAGATTCCGCCCGATGCGGAGATGACCTCGCGCCGGGGCTGTTGGACGTGTCTGCCACGGCCTCCGGGGCAGGGTTTGCAGCCTCTGCCTTGCGCAGAGCTGCGGTCCTGTCCCCTTTTGTACTATATCTATTTATTTTTCAAAAGCCCCAGCGTTTCTCAGGCATGTTCTGACATGTCCTTATCGGAAGGTCATTGTACAGTTAAAAAAAAAAAAAGAGAGAAAGAGCAGTAGCTGATTGGTGATATACTGGGGGCAGAACTGTCATTCATTTTGTAAATGTAGCTGAGAATTCCTTGATGTTGTATATTTACGTCATTGTATTAATTTTAAAAAAATCTATTTCTCTGGCCTGTCATGATAATATACCACCCTCGAAAGCTGCTACGGCTTGAGCTAGAGACAACGCAGTGTGTTGATTTAAGCTTGGCAAATGCTGACCTGGGAATGGGCGAGAAAGCTGAAGGACGGGCATTTTTTTCCCCCTTTTTCAGCATGTAAGGTAACAGGGAGCCTGAAGACTCCAAGGCAAGTGCCTGAAGGATATTTGCTTTTACGGCGTTTTAATTCCTGCCTAAAAACACTGTCTTGATGGACTCACTGTGTAGAATAAAGTGAAAGAAATTCAGAAGTTTCAGAAGAATAACCTCAGCGCTGCAGTAAAATGATTCTGATTATTTACAAGGGCTGAGCTGGGTGGCAGTGTTAATTTGACCACGTCTGTCTGTTTTAGCTATTAAATAACTGCACACTCATTGTGGCTGGTGAAATAGCATCACTTTAAATAGCGTCGAGATTTACCACTTAAAAAATAATCCTGGGAACACGAAGCTGCCGGCGGCCGGATCCTGCCGGGGGTGATCAGTGTTAGGCTGAGTCTCAGAGATGATGGTAAAGGCGTTGTGGTCTTTTGGATCAGAGAAAGGCTTTTTCCCCCTGGAAAAAAGTTTTGAAAATGCTGAAAATATGAGGGTCTGAGAAGAGGATGGGGGAAAGACAGGGATTTTTAACTCGCTAATAAGAAATCCCGGTGCTGATCAGCAGCTCCCCGGTTTGCTGAGCTGCTCCCCCGCAGGAAAATCCAGTGACGGATTTATTCTCACTCACATTTTGGAGTCCAGATCTCCGAGCTGAGCAGCGCCGGAGGAGTTTTAACACTCCCTGGCTCCCGCGCAGGCTCCGCCATAGTAAATAGACATAACCTCGCCGTTCTTCTCTGCTCTTTCTCCCACAGCTGGAAACCACTGCGTACAAC